TTTTTTCCTTTCTTAGGTATTCCCTTTACCTTAACTATGTTTAGGCCAGTTTCCGCGTATGCGATGTTCTTCAAAGAGCGACAAATGGTCGTTAAAAAGTCGTTCCCAGAAGCAACATTTGGTGATATTTCAAGAATAGTTGCGGGAGAATGGGATTCCCTCGGGAAAGAAGAGAAAGCGGTATGTGTGCAATTCAATAGCGACGATAGAATAGCCTTCTTAATAGGTAGCGAAGACAGCTTTAGCATAGAGTTTTGGGGTTGGACGTGTTAGAGAACAATTGAATTTTAAGTTTTGAACAAAAATGGTGATTTTTGAATTTAATATCTTTTAAACACTTTGTCGTAGATTGACCATCAAAGAGATTGAAACAAATTTCTAGGCGTATAAGCGTCGTACGGATCATTTACGCAAGATGCAAATCGAGCTGGCTGTGAAAGGACGAGTAGAGCGGATTTGCAAAAATGTAACTGAAGGAATGAACGAAGCAAAATTTGAAGAGACACAGATGAAAAGATGTGCAAGCGCCCTTGTGGACCGTCAAGTTTGCAAGAACAAATTTCACAGCTTGAAGATGTAATATTTATCAGTTGATTGTAATATTTTGTACAAATGAATAACACAATAAAATACCCGTAAAAAGATGAGAAACAACTCAAATGCTTTTCAAAGACAAAAAGATAATAAAAGCAGATTGCATGACCCTCGAGCAATAGACTCATAGAGCTTCTGAGTTCAAAGCTGATACGTCTCGATCCGTCGTCACTTGGCTTGAACATGAGTGCAGATCCTGCAAACTGGCCGATATATGCATAGTACTGTACAAATTTTGCGAGCGGTTCAGCAAATTCATTATTTCTGTCTTCCTGACTATTATGCATTAGAAAAATGGATTTTTCCAAAAGCCCTTGAAGTTGTCACTGCGAATAGTTGCTTTATGAAAATGTGTCACTCAGGTTTTCCATAAAAAGAAGTTGACAGAACGAATTGTATTGAACTGGAGGATGAATGTTTTACTGGTTTCTCTGATTTAATGGTTGATTATCAGAAATAGCGTTTCTTAATTACCTTTTGAAACACAGTCTTAGTTTAGTTGTTTAAGAGAAAAATTTACAAGGACGATTTTCTTTTTGCAAATTCATTACCCCCTTTATAGCGTGTAAGAAAAGGGTTAGAGGGCTATCACTATTTGGCTCCACCTTTGTGAAGAACTCCATTTCAAGTTATAGTCGTAATTATTAGATGTAATTATTTGTATCCACATCCTGAGGTTTTTTTT